ACGAGTCTTCTGTGGAGACGCGAAAATCAGTTGTACCATAGTTAGTGGTCGTCTCGGAAGTATCAGTAGTACCATAGTCGGTTGTACTCTCAGATGTATCAGTGGTACCATGGTTGATGGTCGTCTCGGATCTCTCAGTAGTACCATAGTTAGTAGTCGTGTCTGATGTATCACTGGTACCATAGTTGGTTGTCGATTGTGATGTATCAGTGGTTACATAGTTGGATGTACTCTCTGATGTATCAGTCGTTCCATGGTCTGTAGTAGTCTCTGATGTATCAGTATTCTCATAGTTGGTTGTCGTCTCCGATGTTTCAAGGGTGCCATAGTTAGTGGTCGTCTCGGTCACATCAGTAGTAAAATAATCGGTTGTACTCTTTGATGTATCAGTTGTACCATAGTTAGTAATCGCTTCGGATGTATCAGTGTTCAACGTGTCAGTTGATGAGCCTTGGGTAGAAAAATAAAAGTCAGTAATACCATGGTCGGTTGTCGTTTCTGCTGTATCAGTGGTACCATAGTTAGTAGTCATGTCTGATGTATCAGTAATACCATAATCTGTTGTCGTCTCTGATGTATCAGTGGTACCATAGTCGGTTGTCGTCTCCGATGTATCAGTGGTACCATAGTTGATGGTTGTCTCGGATCTATCAGTAGTACCATAGTTAGTAGTCATGTCTGATGTATCAGTGATGAATGATTCAGTTGATGCGCCTTCAGGGGATATGGAAAAGTTAGTAGTTTCATAGTTAGGTGATGTTCCAGTGGTATAGTTTGTTGAAGGTTCAATTGTATCAGTGATTGACCGATCGGTTGTTGGACTCTCTGTAGAAACGCGAAAGTCAGTTGTACCATACTCGGATGTGGTATCTGATGTAGCAGTGGTGAACGATTCAGTTGATGGATCATTGGTAGACTGGCGAATGTCAGTGGTTTCGAAGTTGGTTGTTGTCGGTAGTATGTCTGGGGTTAATGAATTGACGGCTCGGGTTGTTGTCCTTCCAGTTGATAAACTGTCAGTAGTATAGTCTGTTGATAGATCAACTGTGCTCGTGATTGAAGATTCTGTGATGAAACCTTCAGTGAACTGTCCGTAGTCAGTGGTCCCAGTGCTAGACTCTGTCATATGTGTAGAGCTGCTAGAAGATTCTAGAGAGTCTGTGGTTGACCACTCAGTTGGTAAAATGTTTGTAGTGTGGCTTATGACTGTAATTCCATGACTGGAGGCTGTTATTGCGCTTTGGGTTGTAGATGGCTCGTCAGTGTCCAGTGATGACGTTTCTGTTGACCCTATAGTTGGAAAGGGTATATTAGTTTTTTTTGTAGCCGTCTCAGTTGTTGTTAGCATATCCGTTGTCCCAAAACTGATCTCAGACTGGTTTGTTGTAGTACTGAGAGCTGGTGAAAAAGTCGTCCTGGTATTGGTTGTTGGCTTTGTATTTAGTGTAACTGGTGAGATGGTTGATGCTATTGTTGGATTGGTAGGTTTCTTAGATGTTGCAGGACGTGAAGTAGTAGGTAATGGTCTGATAGATGTTGCACGGTATGTTGTAGCTAAATCGATTATCCTAAATCTTTGCAGAATATCTCTTACCTGAGCTGACAGTTTGGGTTGACTGGGTCTGTGAAGTTGTGGTGAAGAAGAAAGGTCCATCTGAAGTATTGAGATGAGTGGCGCCCAGGAAGCTATGGTAAACTTATTATGTCAGCAACTTTTTGTGATATAGTATCATTTTTCCCTATACCTAACATGTTCTCTGAGGAAGTAATGTTATATATCCGATAGATTTCGTTTTCGTCATATTGCTGAGAAATCAACATGACCTTGCTATACAGAGGATTCTTTTCGAGAATATCATGAAATGCCTTCACGTCACTCGGAAAACTTAATGATTCTATCGTAAGCTATTAATTAAGTATTTTTTAATAAACCTTTCGTATTCAAATGTGCATGGGATGAAGTATGAGAGGTAATGAAGCCGATGATTGTTTTCCATCACTCGATCTTCATAAGACTTCAGAGCTCTTAAGCCAAATAGCTTCAATAATGATTATCAGAGTATAAACAGACTGAGATTGAGATATGACGTTTACAAAAGATCTTTGAATGTTGTCAAGATAGGAGACAGCTTCTGTATGGCTCAATAGATTCGTAGAGACTGGATGATCGTCAAATGTTAATATAAATATACCAATATTACTTCCAATAGATTTAATGATTTCTTTTGACTGTGAGCACATCTGAAGAATTGCTGTTGCAACAAGCTATTACCTATTGAATGGAACGAACATTCTCTAAACTGCATTGATTGTTCACTTGTCGTTTGATACGGTCATTTGAGTTATCGGAATTGTAACGTGGAATTGCCAAAGTTACAATCTTTGTTCCGTCGAGCTCATCTTGCTCAACTTCTAAGGATGATGTATGAATTGAAGAATAGAAGATGAAATGGAAAAGCTAACTCACTTGATGTTAAGATAATAGTTATGATGACACCTATAGATACTAATATAACAAGAATAATTAATAATATTAAAATATATAGTTTATAACGTCTAGACATGAATAGAATAATCTCTTGGGGATATAACAAGTAGTTCAATAGTTAGAATAGAGATTGTAGAGTGATAAGTCTGTTAATGTTGGAAGCTCTGAAGAGAAAGTTGGAGAGTGGGTGCCAAAAAAGGAGATAAAACTTGTTGGTTTAAGCTCATTCTCACCCCCGTTATCAAAAACCTCCTCATGTATGCATTTTATCGGAATTTTTCATACAAATTCTTATGTAAATACCATATTTTTAATATTTTGCACATAAATGGTATGCCTGACGAATTACTCATTTGTATGGAAAAACGCCTCGCATGTATTCCATCCATCAATCTTTCATGTTTCTTTTAACCTGCTTTTGTCAGTTTTGTTTCGACATCTCAGTTCGCAAGACGCTTATCTGTATGATATATCCAGGGTCATACAACCTAGAACTTCGACATTTGTTTATTTTCTCATTCAAAACTGTTTCATGCTTTCAGTTCTTGTGTAACATCTGCTGTTGTGCAACTAATAAGCTATAGGTTGAAATCAAGATTATGAAGATAAACTGACGAGGGTCTGGGCTGACAACATCTTTCTCTTTCATCTTTTCCTTCAGCTTTGTCTGTTCCTCTTCAGTAAGATTCCGTGTTGGTTGAGTTGGTTTCAAAGATAAGAAAGATATTGTGTAGTCCGTAGATACCGTCATTATCTGAAAGTTACTCCATGTTGTCAATAAGATCAAATTGAGTTGGAGAACTGAGCCAGCATTTCCGTCTGTTCCGCAGTAGTTGGGAGCTGAGAAAAGGGTGACAATATGACGATCAAAGTCCCACAGATGTCCATTCTGTAAGAATCATTGCCTTTAGATGATGTATAGAAGTTCATTTGGTTTACAGGAACAACTTCATGGGCTCGCACTATCAAGTTCAGTTGCAGAAGTTCACATAGTTTTTTCACAGCCATTTTACCAAACATGACGGATGTATATCGATTCTGATTTTGTGATATCCTGCATATTGAATAATAAAAATCATTACTTGATTGAATTGATAGTTAGGGCAACAAGCATCTGAAGTTGGATCAGACCACATGAGATCTAATGCTAATCCTTCATCACATTCACTCGGTCCACGTGGTTTCTGAACTCAGTTGAGAACAGTATATTACAGTATTACTTAACTTGTAAGGATAACAAAGAGTCCCAACACGTTATATTGGGTGAAATGCCGCCATGCATGCATAGGATCTTCCTACCAATCGTTGCGCACAATGGTAATTGATCGAACACCTTAATCATAGAATTACATATTACATAGGCTTTTGATAGTGATCAATACAAACAAATGGCTAACCGAATTAAACTTTTTCCATAAAGTAGTTGAACGTTTTCGAATTAATTCTTCATGAAAACCATAAATGGAGTTCATTCGAGAACATTCGTGATTACCGCGTACCAAATAGATGAATGTCGGGTATAGTATCTTATAACAAAATAATAATGTTATAACCTTAATTAATATATTCTAAACTCTGAAAGAGCACGTGCACTACCTCCAATGACTGTTTACCGCGGTCCACGTAATCACCTAGAAACAGCAAAGTGTTTTTTGGCGGCGGGCCAACAATCGAGAAGAATTTAAGTAAGTCAGTCAGTTGTCCATGAATATCGCCGAAGATTATGATTGGTGAAGACAGTACCAGAGTGGCTGCTTCTGTTTCGAACTTTGAACGAGCCTTCAAATACTTTTGTTTCTTCATACTTTTTTCCCATCCTTTTACTTGTGTTAGTATGTGACCCAGCTCTTCATCCGAAAATCCGCAAACGTGTCGATCTTTGGTGATTCGACGAATTATCCGTTTTGCTAATACATCAGTCAGCTATAAAACGTTTTTTTTATTTCCATTCATTTGTTTCCTTGGGTGTTTACAAGCATTTAGTTGGTCGATTAGTAGCGACAGTTTGAGTCAGTTGAGTTGTTGGAAATGATTGGCATCATACGTGGTTCACGTATCCACGTGTCTATTTCGTTTGTAATCCAATTAGCATAATCATAACAGTTTCTCCTGTTTAACCCAGTCTTCACTTGCACGCTTACCATTAGAGTAGAAAGAAGAAGAAAAAAAGAAAAAGTAAGAGAGAGTGTGTTGTTGTTGGAGAGTGTATGAGAGAAAGAGGACGTAAGGATGTTGAGATGGAAAAGGATTGGAAAGCAACCGCTCTGTATGGTCTTAATTCAATAAATGAATTTGACGTGTAAACGTGTAAAAAGGAAACAACGAAACTATGTTTAAAAAATAATTTTTATCTTCAATTTTGAACCAGAAATAATCCAATAAGGACGATAATAATGATGGTTCAGTTGTCTCAGTCTTGTTGTCGAAAAAGGGGAGGGCGATTCGGATTAGAAAGGCGTGGCTAGTTTGTGCCAAATCAAGCAAGCAAAGAAGAAAATCTCCTTGATTTTCTATTTCTTTCTTTTAGCAAAACTAAACAAAGAAGTGATTTTATTTGAAATGTTCCTGCTTGTATATTCTATTCTATCATATTTTAATAAATTTTGAAAATTTTGTTTTGAAACACATTGCTTGGTCACATAACAGTTATACCAGCCCTATCAGTGAGCAGGAGATGTAACGACGATTGTTTCTCTCTCCCTCTCTCTTTCTCTCTCTCTCTGCATATCTTACTGATGATAGTGGATGAAGGAAGTGAAAGAAATACTTTATGCTTCTATCGTTTTCATGGTAAAGCCTGACCAATAGAAGAAACTGGTCATTTTCTGACTTTCCGTTAGTTTTTCACTTCTATTACTCTCCCCTATATAGCTAATGTTTTCTAATTATCTCGCAGTGCTTAACTATACCATATAATTATTATATTTTTCCACATTTTCAATTTTTGCGGTAGCTGTTCATGTGAACTAACACCTTTCTAAAGCATTTCACTTGCGGATAGCCGTTAAAAGAGTTTTTGTTTTCGAGTTTATTTGTGACTGTCTTTTCAATATTATTTTCTACTTTCCATATTTGATGATAGGAGTTTGACCGCATGATAGCCAGCCTTATTTAGCATCATCATCCGGTCGGCTTCATCTCACCGCGCAGTCATCAGTCTCCCACTGCTATATCCAACTAGCTTGCAGTCTCTATCATTATCACGAATAAAAATCAATTTTTCAGTTCAAAATTAGTTAATTTATATGAATTTCGTTATAAGAATAGAATCCTTTAACGACCGTAGTGTTCTTCTTCTTCTTCTTCTTCATCTTCTTCAAAAACTGTTTCACGAAATGGAGAAAGAGGAAGAGCGAGAAAGACAGACATAGAGAGAGATTGAGAGTAGCAAGAAAGGAGCTGAGCGATAAAAAAATCTTCATTTTCTCGTACTTTTTCATTTTATGTTCTTTTCTTCTTTCTGTTTTTCTCTCATTCCAACATTATTCTATTTTTTTGTGAAGGAATGAAGCTTTGGCTGTTGTGTCTCGTAATCGTCACGACAGCGTCAGCTTCCTATTGCGGTGAAAATGGTGTGCCGTTCAGTTTGGAAGTCTTGCCAAGTGGTTAGTTCGCTTTACGATTCAAACAAGAATATATGATAGCCGTACGGGGCTTATACCCCATCAAGAAAATCTTATATTGATTTTCAATGATCAAATGAACCAGGATCTATCGATGAAGCATCCTAGTAATACTAATTTAAAGGTCTGCCTGTACTTGGATGCGCCCAGCCAACGTGTATAGCTCAATTAGCGGATGATGTAGAAGATTCAGTTTTTAATAATGATAACTATGGACAAGCTGATGGCTTCTTCCGCGAGGGTGATCGAAACCGTCAGGGATACGTTCAGACAAACAAAATGAAAGCCGTGAGTTGTTACTCTTCTTCCGTCCGTATGAGGAATGTGTTTAATCTATGAAAACATCTGAGAGTGTCGCAATCTGATTGCAAAATTTAAGAAATTTTCTTTTTTTTTGCTCTCATTTACCCAAAATCTTATCTGACTGTCCTTTTGTAGTCGGAAGTCTGGGTCATTGAGTTAAACAGTTCGTTTTTGAAAATTGCTGTCTGCCGGATCGTCAGAGATCTCGGCCACAGATGTCGACAGAATCTGGACAGTCGTACACATGATCCTCCGTTTTCGAAAGAGAAAAAATTAAAAAAATGAAGATAAAAAAGCTTTTTTTCTTATTGAATTAGCTCGCAAATGCATATAGTTAAGACCGGATGTAGAAGTATATAGTGAATTTCTATGTCAATGAAAGGAAGATGACCATGCGAGAGAGAGAGGCTATGTTACTTTCCTCCAATTCGAACTATGCCCGTAATCGATCCTGGACGTCAAATTAAAGCAAAAAACTTTTTTTGTAACAAAAACGCTCAAATCTCGTCCATATATGGAGAGAAGAGGCATATGAATAGCATCTGAAATATTTTGTGAGAAGTGAAGAGGATGATGTGGCGCAAGAGTATCGCAGAGAGGTAAAAGCCTACGAATTGTGAACGAATTTGTAAAGAAAAATGACCACTCATGATGGGCAACTTCGGATTTTCCTTTTTTGGCGAATGAGAAGCTTCGTTACGAAAATTTATAAAACTAATTTGCGGAATAGAAGATGAGGACTGTATAGGCAGAGTGTGTGTGGAGTAGTGTAAACTGGAGATTTGCTATCTTCCAAATAAATTCCATAACAGGGCTCCTATAATGTGTAACTGTGGAGAATGTATCTTGACATAATAATTTCAGAATTGCTCCGGTCATTTTGATGCACTGAGTTGCTCCAAGAAGAACCAATGGGTTGGTGGAATCGAGTACATTGACCATTCTCGTCAACCGTATGTTTTCAACACATTTCTCATTTTGTTTTTTGAAATAGAAAAAAAAAGATTTATGAAGAGATATGATATCATTAACTTTCTCTCGCTTAATGTCCATTCCCATCAGCTTTTCGTCATATCATCTTCTAAGCTGAAGACAAAGAAATTTTCTGGAAAATCATTCATGAAGCTTTTCAAGAATTTTAATGAAAAATATATATGAATGACGTATTCAACTGTTCGAAACAAATCGCTCCGAAATGTTCTTTTTTAAATTTCGCTAAACCGTAATGAATACGAGTTTCAAGTAGTCCAGGAGTTTCATATGATGAAGATAGAGAGGGGAAATGAGAATACAGGCTTTGTCCTCAATTTATTATTTTTCACGAAACTTTTACATTACTTGATGAATATGAGCTTTCCCATTCATTCGCTTTAGACTTGTTCTCCAATGCTGCTCTTTCGAGGGACTTCGCTTCTCACAAGATGTCGGTGTGACTACCATTGGAGCTGGTGAAGCTGTTACAGGTGGTGAAGTGAGTCATTTATCCAAGTCAATAGTTCACGTAAAGTATTACCGTGAATTGATAGTCAAATCAAATGTTAACGTGGAAAACGTGAAACACTTCCGTTTCTCATTTCCAATGTACATGCGGCTGACACGGTTGTTTTTGAATTTCAACCAAAGTTCTTTAAATCAACTAGTAACTTTATCTTATTTATGCAAAATAAAGACTTTATAGACTAAAAACAAGTATTTACAGGTTATTCGAGAAGGAAGACAGATCTCGTTTGATGTGATCGCCAATTTGCGCAAAGTCGTCGATCCAGATGATTCACGAATGTATGTTTTTCCTGGAATTTATTTATTTGAAAGAAGATTGGGTTATATGAGTTTGAAACAAAGAAGCAAAAAGTGTGAATGTGTTGAAGAAAAAAAAATATTTGTAATTATTCAAATATTTCAATCTGGCTAAGTACTTAACGAGTCCTTGCTTGAGATCTCTTCGTTTCACGCAGTCTCATTCACTATCCATTCATTGTCGTCACTTTCCGACATAGCTGCTGGATAAAAGAGAATTTTCATTTGTCTAATTACTCCAGACAGTCTTCAGGTTGAGGGGAATTACACAAATGACCTTGGAAGTTGATGAGGAAATTCCTCCCAATAGCTTCACTTTCAAAGAAGGGATTTCGGATATTTGCAACCTTAGTATCATTGACAGTCAAGCAATTTCCTCCCAAAATTGCTTCTGTCTGAGCCTATTCAGCAAGTTGTGATTGGTCATAATTATCTTACTATAAATGCTAGCGAACATTTGTAGACTTGCCCTAAGGACACATCTCTCTCTCTTTCTCACTCCCTCCCTCACTCTCTCTCTCTATTACCCTTTCTCTTTCGTAAATCGTTTGTAAATGAAAATCATATATCGTAAGCTTATTCTTTTTTTCTTTTTTCCAACTATCTACTACTTACCTACTCACTTTTTTTCTTTTCGTCATCATACTCTTCTAAGGATTCACAAATCTCTTTCTCTTCTTTTTTTTATTTGTTCGTCTGTTCCTCTCAATCCTTCTCAATCATACAGTCCGGTTCTATAGTACGATGGACCCTGCTGTTACGTTCGGAACAGTCAACGACCATTTATGACAGAGACTGTTTTGAGAAAATGCATTTTATATGACTAGAAACCTCTCAAAATATCATCATAATATGCGCAATGTTTCATTTTGCAAAGATTTGCAACAATCAATGGACGAACTTGCAGATTGAAAGCTTCTCCATGTAAGTGGGATGTTTGACAAGTTATTGAAAAATTACTTGAATGGTCAGATTGAAATATCAGAGTGTTCTCAAGGTCGTCAAAACATTTGCCAAAATAAAAAAAGGGTTTGCAATAATATATGATGGATTTTCGGCTTTATCTCGATCAGGAAATGATAAGGACAGGCTTTTCCAACGAGAATAGCTGCTGATGGATGAATACGACACACACTGGACATGTAAGAGATGAAGAAGTCGTTTTTGATATTCATTTGAGAATATAAAAAAAAGTGAGAGAGAAAGAGATAATCGGATATTGCTGACGTCATAAGTGATAAGATGAAGTTTCCATATTCTGAAAGTTCTTTAATGAAACCAAAAAAAGTCAATTTATATCGATGACATGCATTATCTTGCCCGCGCTTGCGATGAAATATCTATCTGAATTTCATTAAAGCGAAAATAGGATAGGACTTTTGGTTGAAACAAATGGTGATTGAACATGAAAAAGCGAGTATCTAGGCCATGAAACGGGTGATAAACGAACATCTAACAAACGACGAGTTAAATAAGCGCTTGTTCGAGATAATTTTGTTCAACAAGAATGGGGAATGGGAAAGAATTAATTTTTCCAAATTAATAAACTTTTTTTTCGTATTTTCAGCATCTCATATGAAGTTACTATTCGTCGGATGAATTGTCTTCCTGATCCTTCTGAATCGGAGACTCCGGGTTCGTTCAACTTTTTCTTTCTGTTACCAATCTCTTCTTCATAATCCTTCGTGTTATCCAAAGCATCAAACAGAATCAAAAACTTTCTCGTCGCTTTTTCATCTTCAAAGTATTCGATAAGAATCGCCTGTTTAAATGAGAAAAAACGGATTTTCTCTCTCTTTCTCTTAATTTTCTTTCCTTTTTATCCGGATAACAACGTGATTTGATGAAAAATGTCGTTTTCAGTCAGCGAAGGTGTTTATGAGGAAGTTGTACGCGTACTAGAAAATGCAAATAATGGTTCACAACCGTTGGGACATGAGGGACATCCACATATGGATGCTGAGAAGAAGCATCGCCCAGAAAAGTTTGAGAAAAAGAAACGCCATAAGACTCATAGGTATGTTGATTATGAATGCCAGACAGTGAGAACATTAGACGTTAGAGGGAAATCATCATGTTTTGACTGCATCTCGTCAAATCGTGTTGAAACCCATTTTGAAGGTTAGGCATTAGCCGGCTATCAATCAGCCATTAGCTCATCAAATTTTTGTGATTATCCGAATTCCGCAACAATGTGATAATTTCATAATTTTCACATCTAAACAGGATGTATATATCATATTTTATGCTAATATGAAGATAGTTGAGAATGAGAAAAGAATGAAGATGATATCCCGCTGCCGTCGAAACATTCTTCTCTTCGACTGGTCAGTCAAGATATCAGACAGTTTGATTAACAAAATTAATCAAATGATAGGGAGATGTTCAAAGATTATTAGCATAAATATCATTTGTACCCAAGAATGCACTCTGTTTACGTAAGTCTGCTTGAGACTCCACGCAAGTTAATATGCTAATGACGTAACCGTCATTTACTAAGTTGAACGCGCGTCGTGCGGTTGCACTTACTTACTTTTACTCTACAACTGAAATGTGTCGTTTTCAGTGTTCATGAAAGAGTTGGTCCCTTATCTCATCATGGAGAGAAAGAGAACTTCGTAGGAAGCTTTGGGGCACCAATTTATCGTCCCATGGACGAAGAATATGAGAAAAAGTCCACAGCTACTCCCAGAAGATATGTCCCATCTGCTCCTAAGAGAGTCTCAATAGAAATTCAGAGACCATCCGTTCAGGTATGAACCAATCACGAAAAGCCGTTCTAACAGAAACTCTAGATCGACCCAATCACTACAACAACAACATCTGCCCCAACGACAACACAACCAGTATATACGCTACCTACCCTACCTCCGTTCCGACTACCAACTTTCTCTAATAATATTGGTATATTCGGATTGCCACCTCCACCTCCTCCTCCACCACCTATGCCGCAACAAAGGTCGTTGAGTTCTCCTCAAGCATTTGGTGTGAGTCAAGCAAACCCACTCAATCCTCTTCCTCCACCAACATTATTACATTTCCCACTAATGTTCCCTCAACATCAGGTAAGGATAAAAATATCGTTCAAACATGACAACTGTTTTTTAGTCGTCTCAAGCATATAATCCTTTTGCTGTCAACAATGATCAGAATAACGTTATGGCTCCTCAGCGGATGTCTCTTCCTGAACTGAATAACAATAACGTTTTCGGAATGAATAACTTGGAGCAAATACCACCCTCACCGGATAACTTATTGAATCACCAGCACAACTTTGGTTTGAGTTCACAGAACAGCTACGGCTTGTTTAATAATCAGGTGAGGTGATTTCCGAACATTCAAAACTTGTAAACTGCTCAATTATCTTACTTTTTATTGTGTATTTCAGCTTCGTGAACCTCAAATGGCTCCAAATAACCGCAACTTAGGCCAAATATTCCTTCCGCCACCATTTACTTCACTTGGAAATGCTTTGCATAACTTCCAAGCTCAAGGATAAAATGGAAGGAGCATGTAAAATGTTGTAAAATAATGCTCGGACAGATAGCCTAGTTTCTCTTAATATTGATCACAATAATTTGAATCCAAGAAGCCATAGCTTCGCATTGTTTATACTTCTCCTGTAAGTGCATAACATGTAGTTCGTCTAGATGCTTAGTGCTCCTCAATGCTTTCCTACAAAGCAGTATCAGATTCTTCTGAGCTCGTAAGCTCTCTCATAACTCTCTCAAAACGTCCATCATTCTCTTTATCCAATCTAGTTGCTTTCAAAACATAACCATTTAGAGGAAAAAGCCATCATTTTTGACTAAAACGTCAATGCTCAGGCATTTACTGGAACATTCTCTGAGTCACTCAAGAATATTTAAATCGCTCTGTATGTAACTGTATATGACTATACTCATCGTTTACACTTAATTTATTCAAACAATTATGTAAATTTGTTTCCAAGCAATGACTTTGTTGTGCCCAACCATGGTACAGGTACTTTGTTTTCATGTTTTGTCCAGTAGGATGTTGACTAATTTATGTGACCCTTCATCATTGTCTGATATAAATAATCAAAGATACATTCTTATTCCGTGTAGCCTTTCCAGAAAACACGAGTTTAACCACTGAGTTTTTGGCTCTCATCCAACTTAGGGTCCGACTCAGCCGTGAGGAGTTGGAGAGTCGATCTCGGCAAATGATCGAAACTGATCGAAATGCAACTTTTTTTTTCGAATTTTGCGAAA